GTGGGTATGCACCATGCCTGGCCATTGTTTTTTGTTTTTGTTTTTTTTGGCAGAGATGAGGTCTCATTATGTTGCCCAGGCTGGTCTTGAACTCCTGGGCTGAAGTGATCCACCAGCCTTGGCCTCCCAAAGTGCTGGGATTATAGGTGTGAGCCACTGTGCTGGCCTGGACCTGGTTTTTGTTTTGTTTTGTTTTGTTGTTTGTTTGTTTGTTTGTTTTTGTTGTTGTTGTTGTTGTTTTGAGACGGAATCTCAGTCGCCCAGGCTGGAGTGCAGTGGCGCGATCTCGGATCACTGCAAGCTCCGCCTCCCAGGTTCACGCTGTTCTCCTGCCTCAGCCTCCCAAGTAGCTGGGACTACAGGCGCCTACTGCCACGCCAGGCTAATTGTTTGCATTTTTAGTAGAGACGGGGTTTCACCATGTTAGCCAGGATGGTCTCGATCTCCTGACCTCGAGATCTGCCCGCCTCCCAAAGTGCTGGGATTACAGGCGTGAGCCACCGCGCCCAGCCTGGACCTGGTTTTTATAGATGCCTTAAATGGTTTGTTGCCTTGTGTGCACAGCCCCAGAAATGTCGTGCTGCTCTCTTTTTTGAGTGAGGGATTGGGGAACAAGAAAGAATCCAAGGGCTCCCTCGGGGTCTTCTGCACATGTCGTTGGCTCGGGTGTCCCTCTGAGTCCAGCACATCGCTGGACCATTCGCGGCAGCAAACACAGCTTGGGATCTGCATCTCCCTGAGGGAACTTTGCGAGGTGCAGTCACAACTTTTGCTGTTTCCAGTTTAATATTCAACCTGAATCTGGGGCCAGCTGAATGGAGGCTGGTGCTGCTCTGCCCAGCTCCTGTTCTGTTTAGAAACATGTTTATTGCCTTAAGAAGGAGCCAGTTCTTTCACCTAAACAGGATGGGCCTGGAGTTCCTCCAGAGGCTAGTGGACCCAGAGCCGGGAAGGAGGGATGTAAGCTGTGGATAACCGACACATGGAAGATCGTGCAGTGTGAGCATGGCCGTGCGCATGTGAGTGGACCTGTCGGCCTGGCCTTCAGGACCAGGGAAGGGGGGAGCCCTCGCCGCCTTCCCTCCCAGGACAAAGCAAACCAATCAATGGTCTTAAGGGTTTCTTTTCTTCTGAGGCCTAGTCCTGCTGTAGGCAAGGTTTTTCCAGTGGGCTATATTAAAATCAACTTCAGTGGCTCATGCTTGTAATCTCAGCACTTTGGGAGGCTGAAGCAGGCAGATCACCTGAGGTCGGGAGTTCGAGACGAGCTTGACCAACATGGAGGAACCGTCTCTATTAAAAATACAACATTAGCCGGGAGTGGTGGCAAATGCCTGTAGTCCCAGCTACTCGGGAGGCTGAGGCAGGGGAATTGCTTGAACCCAGGGAGGCAGAGGTTGCAGTGAGCTGAGATTGCGCCACTGCACTCCAGCCTGGATGACAGTGCGGCACTCTGTCTCAAAAAATAAAGAAATAAAAAATGGCTACAATGGTAAATTTTTTTTTATTTTTTAGTTTTTTTTTTTTTTTTTTTTTGAGAACGGGTCTCGCTCTGTCGCCAAAGGCTGGAGTGCAGGGCCGAGCTCGGCTCACTGCAGCCCCGCCTCCGTTCCACCGCCATTCCCTCCCCAGCCCGTCCGAGTAGCTGGGACACAGCGCCCAACCCACGACGCCCCTAGTTGGTATCTTTAGAGAGACGGGTTCCATCGTGTTAAGCCAGGATGGCCCTCGATCCCTGAACCTCCTGACCGCCCGTCTCGCCTCCCAAGTGCTGGGGCACAGGCTTGAGCCACGCGCCGGGGGGGGGGCGGCCCCATTTTTTAGTTTTTTGAGGACAGGATCCTGCCTGTCCCCTGGCGGAGTGCAGTGGCAGGCAATCTCAGCTCACGCCAAGCCTGCCTCCGGGTCATGCCCTTCTCCTACCTCAAGCCGCCTCCTAGTAGCTGGACACCAGGTGCCCCACCACCGCACCCGCTAAATATTTGTATTTTTAGTAGAGACGGGTTCACCGTGTTAGCCAGGATGGTCTCGATCTCCTGACCTCGTGATCTACCTGCCTCAGCCTCCCAAAGTGCTGGGATTACAGGTGTGAGCCACTGTGCCTGGCCTAAAATGGTTAATTTTATGCTATGTATATTTTACCACACACACAGAAACACAGTATCGAGGTACTTTCCCAAGACAGTGTCTCACAGACATAGGTTTTACACTATGATTTTTACCTTTCACGAACTGTTTTAAAGTAGTATTTGCCTTATAATAAGTAGGTGAATGTTCTAGCTGCAAGAGAAACCAGAGTGGTCCGGTCACTTAACCAAAACTTGCTGAAGCAGACCCCTGTGGCACTCCGGGAACTTGTACCATCCCAGGCGGAAAGGTTAGTCTGATGTGCATAAGCAAACCTTGCACTTCTGTGCCCAGGACAGTAGCCTTGCGCCAGGGAAGTCACCTGTTGTCCAGAATCCCACAGGGCACATCTTACCCACTCCTTTTATGTTTGCCTGAGCCCAAGGGTTGCTGTTCTTGGAGAAACACCAACCACCCCACTTGACTTCTGGCTCATTTGGATCCAGAAATATGCAGTTTTAAAGCTGCAGCACCTTCCATTTAGGTCCCAGCTCTCCCTCTGGAAACATGCCTGCTCCTCACCAGAGATTCCTCCCTGGAGCACCTGCCCGAAGCATAGCTTTCAAGCTGGTGGTTTTAGAAAGTTAAGAGCTGGCTTCAGAATTCCGACAGGGTGAGACAGCATAGGCTGTGACTTTCTTACCATGCACAGCTGGTTAAAGAGAACTGGGAACGGGCCGGGCGCGGTGGCTCACGCCTGTCATCCTAGCACTTTGGGAGGCTGAGGCAGGTGGATCACGAGATCAGGAGATCAAGACCAGCCTGGACAACATGGTGAAACCCCATCTCTACTAAAAATACAAAAACTAGCCGGGCGTGGTGGCGGGTTCCTGTAATCCCAGCTACTCAGGAGGCTGAGGCAGGAGAATCGCTTGAGCCCGGGAGGCGGAAGTTGCAGTGAGCCGAGATCACGCCACTGCACTCCAACCCGGGCGACAGTGCAAGACTCCGTCTCAAAAAAAAAAAGAGAGAACTAGAACGAAGCATCTCTTTGCTCAAAGTGATCTTCTCAACTGGGGGTCCCTTTCAGAAGGACCCCAGGGTGCAGGGTGGTGTTTGGGAGCCTGGGGTGGACCATGCTGGAGCGAGGAGGTGTTTTCAGCAGGGTCAGGCCCTTTTTTTGGTAGAGATGGGGTCTCACCATGTTGCCCAGGCTGGTCTTGAACTCCTGGCCTCAAATAGTCCTCCCACCTTGGCCTCCTGAGTAGCTGGGATTATAGACATGGGCCACTGTGCCCAACCAAGGGCCAAGCTCTTGAAACCCTTATAGAAACTCTATCTGTAGCCTCTCATTACTCAGAATCTGTGTGACCTATTCCGGTAACTTCATAAGTTCTGTGAAAAGAAGGTATACTCCGAAGTTTGTAATGGCTTCTCAGAACAGTCACTTGTCTTAAGTGGAAGCCCTTCTAATACTTACACAAAGATTAAGACAAATAATGTGGCTGGGCACCATGACTCTCACTTGTAATTCCAGCATGGTGGGAAGATCACTTGAGGCCTGCGGTTCAAGGCCAGCCTGGGAAACAGAACAAGACCCCGTCTCTCACACACACACACACAATAATAATAATAATAAACAAAACAGGCCGGGTGCACTGGCTCACACTTGTAATCCCAGCACTTTGGGAGGCTGCGGTGGGTGGATTGCTTGAGGTCCGGAGTTCAAGACCAGCCTGGGTAACATGGCAAAATCTCATCTCTACTAAAAAGAGAAAAAATTAGCTGGACATGGTGGCGCCTAACTGTAGTCCCAGCTACAGCTGAGGTGAGAGGATCACCTGAGCCCAGGAGGCAGAGGTTGCAGTGCGCCGAGATGGTGCCATTGCACTCTAGCCTGGATGTCAATGCAAGACCTTGTCTCAAACCAAATAAAACAAGGCCAGGCACAGTGGCTCATACCTGTAATCTCAACATTTTGAGAGGCCAAGACAGGATGATTGCTTGAACCCAGGAGTTCAAGACCAGCCTGGAGGGCATAGGGAGACCCCATCTCTACAAAAAAATAAAAAATTAGGCCAGGGCAGTGCCTCTCGTCTGTAATCCCACACTTTGGGAGGCCAAGGTGGGCAGATCACGAGGTCAGGAGTTTGAGACCACCCTGGCCAACATGGTGAAATCCTGTCTCTACTAAAAATACAAAACAATTAGCCAGGCATGGTGGTACATGCCTATAGTCCCAGCTACTCAGAAGGCTGAGTCAGGAGAATCGCTTGAACCAGGGGCTCAGAGGTTGCAGTGAGTGGAGATCGTGACACTGTACGCCAGCCTGGGTGACAGAGTGAGACTCCACCTCAAAAAAAAAAAAAAAATTAGCTGGGCACGGTGGTGGACACCTGTCGTCCCAGCTACTCGGGAGGCTGAGGCAGAAAGATTGTTCAAGCCATTCAAAGCTGCAGAGAGCAAGGTCATGCCACTGCACCACCCTCCAACCTGGGCCATAGAGTGAGACCCTGTCTCAAAAGAAAAGAAAACAGGCCAGGCACAGTGGCTCATGCTTGTGATCCGAGCACACTTTGGGAGGCCAAGACGGGCAGGTCACCTGAGGTCAGGAGTTTGAGACCATCCTGGCTAACACAGTGAAACCCCGTCTCTACTAAAAATACAAAAATTAGCCGGGCGAGGTGGCGGGCGCCTGTAGTCCCCGTTACTCAGGAGGCTGAGGCAGGAGAATAGCGTGAACCTGGGAGGCGGAGCTTGCAGTGAGCCTAGATCGTGCCACTGCACTCCAGCCTGGGCAACAGAGCGAGACTCCGTCTCAAAAAAAAAAAAAAAGAAAAGAAAAGAAAAGAACACCACATTTGAAAAAATACATTCTTTGAAATGTGAACCTTGAAACACAGATGCAAAAAATGTTTTTTTTAACCCTGCAGAGTGTGAGATGGCGGACAGGTTTGCTGAAAACCTTCAGAAAGGAGGCTGGAGGATTTAGCCGCTCTGTCCTCCCCTCCCTGCAGCCCAGGGCTTCCTCCCTAGCACAGTGGCGCTATGGACTCTCCGGGATACAACTGCTTCGTGGACAGAGACAAGATGGACGCTGCCATCCAGGACCTGGGGCCCAAGGAGCTGAGCTGCACTGAACTGCAGGAACTGAAGCAGCTGGCGCGCCAGGGCTACTGGGCCCAAAGCCACGCCCTGCGGGGAAAGGTGTACCAGCGCCTGATCCGGGACATTCCCTGCCGCACAGTCACGCCCGACGCCAGTGTGTACAGCGACATCGTGGGCAAGATCGTGGGCAAGCACAGCAGCAGCTACCTGCCGCTGCCTGAGTTCGTGGACAACACGCAGGTGCCCAGCTACTGCCTGAATGCGCGCGGTGAGGGGGCCGTGCGCAAGATCCTCCTGTGCATCGCCAACCAGTTCCCCGACATCTCCTTCTGCCCCGCCCTTCCGGCCGTGGTGGCCCTGCTGCTGCACTACAGCATTGACGAAGCCGAGTGCTTCGAGAAGGCCTGCCGCATCCTGGCCTGCAACGACCCCGGCAGGAGGCTGATCGACCAGAGCTTCCTGGCCTTTGAGTCGTCCTGCATGACGTTTGGGGACCTGGTGAACAAGTACTGCCAGGCGGCCCACAAGCTGATGGTGGCCGTGTCAGAGGACGTCCTGCAGGTCTATGCGGACTGGCAGCGCTGGCTGTTTGGGGAGCTGCCCCTCTGCTACTTCGCCCGGGTCTTTGACGTCTTTCTGGTGGAGGGCTACAAGGTGCTGTACCGCGTGGCGCTGGCCATCCTCAAGTTCTTCCACAAGGTGAGGGCCGGGCAGCCCCTGGAGTCGGACAGCGTGAAGCAGGACATCCGCACGTTCGTCAAAGACATCGCCAAGACAGTGTCCCCGGAGAAGCTGCTGGAGAAAGCGTTCGCCATCCGCCTCTTCTCCCGCAAGGAGATCCAGCTCCTGCAGATGGCCAACGAGAAAGCCCTGAAGCAGAAGGGCATCACTGTGAAGCAGAAGAGGTAGGTCCCCGGCAGCCAGTGAGGGGCACGCCCAGGGTAGGGGGCTGGGGCAGGACGTGTCCGGCATGAGCTCATCCTGCTGGCCTCCAGGCGGCCTCTGCCCATGGTCCACCCACCCATCTGTGCATGGCTGGAAAGACACTGAAACAGGAAGGATCTTCCCAGTTACAGCCACAGACGAGGGACATCGGTTCCTATCCTCTGGGACCAGGCCCACGGCTGAGATGAAAGCTGATGCTGGCCACGGGGTCAGAAGGCATCGTGGGAGGCCAGGCCCACTCCCAGGGTTATTTCAGGGCAGCCCCTGCTCCACCCCTCCAGCTCTGGGCTCCATGGCTGGTCTCTGCTGTGGTTGCTGAGCGTGGCCTCCCTGCCTGGAGCACAGCCCCAGGGGAGCAGGGTCAGGGGTTCATGGTGTCCTATGTGCATTTGGCAGCCGGCGCTGTGGTGGTGCCACGCTGTGGTCTGTTGACGTGCAGTCCTCTTTCTTCTGGGCCAGCAAAGGCCTGTCGGGGGATCGGTACTCACACTAACTTCTCCTTGTCTGTTTTATTTTTCTTCTCCATGTCCGTTGCTTTCTCCTGTTTTTCAGTGTGTCACTTTCTAAAAGGTAGGTCTGAAACTGCATCCGCACACCTGGCCTCTGTCTTTCCACCAGGCTGACTCTAGGCCAGCTGATGCTCTGGGTCCCAGGGCTGCTCTCGCGGGCCGGCTTCGGCAGTGCTGCCTCTGAGCCGGACTGCTGCTCAGGCGCCTTCTGTCTGTGCGTCTGCCTGCCTCCCTGCCTGTCTGCCTCTGTCATGCTATCTCCTGGTGCTTGGCTCACCCCGAAGCCTTGTCTTGCCAGAGCAGTCATTCTCTGTCCTGATTTCTTAGAGAAAAGGTGCATTGTCCCCATCCAAGCTGGGCACTCTCCCTTCTGTAACGGGTGGGAGGTGGGGCTCCTGGGAACTTTCTCCCTGTTGGGCACCTAGAACCCGGCCCTAAACCGGGGCAAGCAGGCAAGAAGTTCCCTCTGGGCTTAGTTCCAAAGAGGCTCTGGGGCATACCTTGGGAGACATGGCCTGGCCCCGGACGTGGCTTCGGGCTCTGACCCCTGCTTGCTCCCCTCAGGCAGTTTGTACACTTGGCCGTCCATGCAGAGAACTTCCGCTCAGAGATCGTCAGCGTGAGGGAGATGAGAGACATCTGGTCCTGGGTCCCCGAGCGCTTTGCCCTGTGCCAGCCCCTCCTGCTGTTCTCCTCCCTGCAGCATGGGTACAGCCTGGCCAGGTAACACCCCAAGGGGCCAGAGCGGGCGGCAGAGCTGCCCAGCCACATGTCTTGCCCACAGAGGCTGGAAATGGGCCTCAAACCTGGGCACCTGGTGAGGCCCTGTTTCTTCCTGTGGGGCCTAAGAATCAGGGTCCTTTTCTGGGCTTCTGCCCTCCCCAGGCCACCCAGACTTTGGGAGTCATGGCCAGGCATGCCACAGCTTGGGGCCGTGCAGGTGTCATGAAGACGTGGGAGGCAGAATCCCCACCTCGGAGCTCACAGCATTGTCTTGGTTGGGGGACCATGTGCGTGGCAGGTCCCGGCTGTGCTCGCTCCCCACCCTGTCATCCACATGGTGCTCTGTCAGGGACCCCAGGCCTGCTGCCCTCCAGGGTGGCGCTGCCAGGTGCAGCCAGGGAGCCTCCCTCCAGCCTTGGACAGCATGTGGCCGTGGGAGCTCTGGGTTGGGCCTGGGATGACCTGGAGGTGAGGTAGGCAGAGCTGGTCCAGCCCCCACCCGGCACCGTTCACAGGTTCACAACGCCTCAAGCTTTTTGGCATAGCTGGAGTTACTTCTCCTGGCCCTGCCAAGGACACAAGCCAACCTTTGGGCGCCACATTGGCAGACACGGGCATCTTTGGCTCCCACGTGCCTGGGCTGCGACGATGAGCCAAACCTCCCCACCGCGGGGACCTGTTCCTCTGGTTCCTACTTCCCCAGCCCCTGGCGCTTGGCTCTGCACTGGGGCCTTCCGCTGCAGGCCTCTCCCCTGAGTCACACCAGGGCAGGCTGTCCTGGGGATGGCAGAAAAGGGCCAGGTGAGAAGAACACCTGGGTGAGGGTGTTGTCGGGACCCAGAGAGAAGGAAGCACAGTTCCCAGGTCTTCCGCCCCAAGACAGCCGGGGCCAGTGGAGGCTGCAGGAGGCAGCTGGGAGGGTGTGCAGGGTGACAGCTGGCATGCGTGTCTCTACGCCAGGTTCTACTTCCAGTGTGAAGGACATGAGCCTACCCTCTTGCTCATCAAGACCACGCAGAAGGAGGTGAGCACGGACCCGGGAGCCAGGGCTGGCTCTGATGGGCTCCGGAGCCTAGGCCTCCTGGGCTGGAGCCAGAGTTGGAGCGTGGGTGTGGCCAGCACATGGGGCTCATCCCACGCTCAGGGTCACAAGGGGAAATAAGACTATCCCCAACACAGCCCCCACCCACCCTTATTGCCAGCCCCAAGCCAGGGGCAGGGTGCACGCACGCTGCCTTGCCTACACAACCCCTGCCCTGGGGTGGGGGTGGGAGACGGCAATGCCTGCACCCCCACCTGTGACTTGGTGGGGCTGGAGTAGGCTGGAGCACAGGGACGCTCCTGGGGGCCTGTGGGCACAGCCTCACCCAGACCTTTCCCCCAGGTGTGTGGTGCTTACCTGTCCACAGACTGGAGTGAGAGAAATAAGTTTGGAGGCAAACTGGGCTTCTTTGGGACCGGAGAATGCTTTGTGTTTAGGGTGAGTGGGGCCAAGTGCCTCCCAACCCCCATGCAGACCCTGTAGCTGCATTGCTCTGGGAGCACCCGCCTGCCCTGGGGACACTGTTTGATGTCACCATGGCAGTCACCCAGCAGCGTCATCGCCATGTGTGCTTCGGGTTTGATCTTTCAGCCGCGCGCTGCTCCGAGGCAGGGGGGCTTATCTGCTCGAGCCACCACCTCCCCAGCCCCTGGCTCGGGCTGCACCCACCTTGGGCTCTGGGTGCAGATTCGCGGGATGAAACAGGCTGTGGCTCTGGGGCAGAGGGTCCTGCAAGTGCCTGCACCAGCTCCTCATGCTCCGCTTCCACCCCAGCTGCAGCCTGAGGTGCAGCGCTACGAGTGGGTGGTGATCAAGCACCCTGAGCTGACCAAGCCCCCACCCTTGACGGCTGCCGAGCCCACCGCCCCGCTCAGCCACTCTGCCTCCTCAGACCCTGCCGACCGCCTCTCGCCCTTCCTGGCCACTCGCCACTTCAACCTGCCCTCCAAGACCGAGTCCATGTTCATGGCGGGGGGCAGCGACTGCCTCATCGTGGGTGAGTGCCAGCAGACGGGGCCCTGCGATGAGGGTGTGGGGGTCCGGGCAGCTGAAGCTGCTGCACCCAGCCCTCCCTGACCGGGGTGGCAGAGAAGAGGCCCTGGGTGTCGGGGTGGACCAGGCACGATGGGTGAGAGGGAGCTGGGAGGGAGCGACCAGCCTGGACAGCTAGTCCTGGGGGCTATGGAGGGTCAAGGGTCTGTGCGGTTTCAGAGAGGCCCGTGCAGGGCAGGACAGCTGGGACAGCAGGTGAGGTGCCTGGGGCAGTGCTGATGGGGCAGTCAGGCCGCAACTGACCTGAGCATCCTGCAGGGGGAGGAGGTGGCCAGGCGCTCTACATTGATGGGGACCTGAACCGGGGCCGCACAAGCCACTGTGACACCTTCAACAACCAGCCCCTCTGCTCCGAGAACTTCCTCATCGCTGCTGTGGAGGCCTGGGGCTTCCAGGACCCTGACACCCAGTGACAGCCTGTGCCACGGTGACTGAGCCGCAGTGGGGTGGTGGGCCAAGGCTGGGCTGCCGCCTTGGGCAGCAGAGAGCAGATGAGACCCCCCATGTGGTGGGCAGGGTTGGGGGACAGCAGGGCCCCGTGGCCGAGCCTGGCGTTGCCTGGACCTGCTGCTGCCTCTACCTGGGGTTTGGGCTGGGCTTCCCCAGTCCACCTGCATCTGGGTCAGAGCTGGAGGGGCTGCAGTGCCCCCAGCCCCACCCAGAGCTGGCATAGGAAGTACCTTCCTCCTCCTTGGAGGCTTCCTTAGCCCAAGGCCTTGGGAGTGTCTGGGTCTTGCTGCCCCTGAGCTTCTCTATGCAGCCTGAGCCCCTGGGGTGGGAGTGGAATGGCAGCGGGAACGTGCAGCGGAGGGTGGGCTTGTGGTGCCCCCTGCTGGTGCCGCATAGCATCGCACCCTCCCGAGCAGGGCCCTGCAGCCTGGCTGGCTGGCGACTGAATCCCAGAGTAGATCCTGAGAAGAGACTGGCACCCTTGGGCCTGCCCCCTGGCAGACCCCACCTCCTGTCCCGGGCCTTTGCCCCAGTTCCCTCCCCAGGCCTCCTGGGCCACCTCTCTCAGTAACCCTGCTTGGCTGGCTCTGAGGCTCCCCTGGACTGCGTTTGGGAGCTGCTGGGTGGGAGGAAGAGGGTGGGATTTGTGCTGGGCTCCACCCCCAGGGAGGGTGGGAGCTGGAGGGAATGTCACATGTCCTTGTGTTTCTGCAGAGCCTGAAGCTTTTGCTGGGCCTCCCTTGGTGTTCCCATCTGAAGAGGTGGCCCCAGGAGAGGCCCTCAGGGACCGACCCAGACCAGCAAGCTCGATTTCCAGGGGTCTGCCCAGAGAAGCCTGGACCCAGGGGACTTTTCAGCCCCCGTCCGTTCCAGCCCAGGCCTTCTTGAGTTCTTGTAACCTCTGCAGCTGCCCATTTCACCTCTTTGTCATTGCAGTGACCTGGGGCCCAAGGTCACGCCCAAGCCCCTCTTTATGGCATGCTCATCTCAGTTCATCCCCAGCTGCTTCTCTGCACCAGGCCCTGCGCCCTCCCCAGGCCCTGGCCACCCAGCACCTCCTTGGCCACCTTGCATGGATGCATGTCCCCCCTCTGTCCTTCTTGTGGTGCTGTGGCTGGCCACGTGTCAGGGTTTTCTCTCATCTTACAGCCTTTGGGCCCCTGGGCCCCTGCCCTGCCTAAGCCCTGCACTGGCCAGACACAGGTAGGTGCCAAGGGAGGCCTTGCCTCTGGGCACTGTAGGGGGCAGCCCCCTGCCTTGTGACCTCCCTCCGTGCCCTGTGACCTCCTTCAGCTGGTATTGAGGGTCTGGCCACCACGGAGGGGAGAAGGGAGAAGTGGAGGCCCAAGTGGCTGTTCTGGGACCATGGAGGCCTGGGTCACAGATACAGGTACCAGCAGTCCTGCCCCTACTTCCGTCCCTGCTGGTCTCCAGCCAGTGCCACTTGGAGTCCCCTGCACCGTGCCACTGTCCATCCCCACACCGTTGCCTGCTCCTCCCATGAGGCTTCAGCCTCCCCTGACCATCTGCTCACGTAGCCTCTGACTGGGCCCACAGTGGTGCAGGAGGAAGGACCGGGAACCCTGCGTGGCTTTGGGCAAGCTGACAAACCCATCTGGAACTCAGTTTCCCCAACTGTGAAATGGGGCCAGTCCCCATGCCCTGCTGTCCTCCTCACAGGACTGTTGAGAGGCTCACAGGGGGACAGGGTGAATCCCTCTCTCCGGGAGAGGTATGGGAGGGAAGTCGCCACTCATCTCACAGCCCACCGCAGCCCTCCAGGCCCCCGCCTGAGTCCCCAAGGCCCTCATCTGTACCGCCAGCTTTGGTGTTCATTAAACATGGTCTTGCTGCATCAACTCCAGGGCTCCAAGCTGAGTCTGATCTCTTCAGCCAGGGGCCTCTGGGGGCTTCCTGGGCCTACAGCCAAGCAGGTGTGGGAGGCTGCCCGCTGCAGTGCTCACCCACATTCTACGACTGGAATGCCGCAAGCCTCTTCCAGAGGGAGCCCTCCAGGAGCAGGGAAGTCATATCCGAGGACCATCTGTAGGTTTCCCTCTGCAAACTTCCTGAACTGGGTGGTGACTTTTCTGGCGAGTTAAGTCCAGTAGGTTCTGCGTGGCTGCCCCGGGGGGCCCCACCCTGGCCTTGCAGTGATCTGGACCAGGAAGACGGATTGCTGCTGGCTCATGATTTCCACATCATGAGCGAAGTTCTTTGTTTTTTGTGTGCATGCAAAATGTTGTTTCTTTAAATTTAATCTCTTTTCCTAACTTTTCTAACCTAGAAGGTATGTGTAATTATTATCTTTTTTATTCTTATCACTATACTTGTTATTATCTGATATTAGGCATTCCCAAATAGAACATAATTTATTTTGTTAATGTTCTCTATTTCTTCTTGATTATTTATTAGCTTTGGATGTTAAAAATTAGCCAAAAGTGGCTGCTCTGCCTATGGAGCTGGCCATTCTTTGGTTAAATTTTAAAAAAAAAAAAAAAAATATTTCTTTTTTTTTTTTTTTTTTTTTTTTATTTTTTATGTTTTTTTTTTTTTTTTTTTTTTTTTTTTTAGGCACATTTGATAAAATTGGCATAATGAATTCTTATTGTTGTTTAGGAACATTCAAATTATTTATTTAGTGTTTTTTTTTTTTTTTTTTTGAGACGGAGTCTCACTCTGTTCCCCGGCTGAAGTGCAGTGGCGCGATCTCGGCTCACCGCAAGCTCCGCCTCCCAGGCTCCCGCCATTCTCCTGCCTCAGCCTCCCGAGTAGCTGGGACTACAGCATGCACCACCAAGCCCGGCTAATTTTTTGGTTGTTTTTAGTGAGACGGGGTTTCACCATGTTAGCCAGGATGGGTCTAGAGCTCCTGACCTTGTGATCCGCCCGCCTCGGCCTCCAAAGTGCTGGGAATTACAGGCGTGAGACTGCGCCCGGCCCTTTTCTTTTTTTTTTTTTTTTTTTTTGAGACGGAGTCGCCCAGGCCAGTCGGCCGGATCTCGGCTCACTGCAACTCGCCTCCCAGGTTCAAGGCGAATTCTCACTGCCTCAAGCTCCTGAGTAGTCTGGGGATTACAGCGACACCGCCACCATGCCAGCTAAATTTTTTTTGGTATTTTTAGGTAGAGGCGGGAGTTCACCATGTTGGTCAGGGTTGGTCTTGAACGTCTTTGACCTTTGTGATCCAGCCACCTCAGCCTCCCAAAGTGCAGGGACTTACAGGGGTGGCACTTGCAGGCCTAGCCTATTTTAAAATTTTTTTTAATAGACCACTTTGTGCTGAATAAATGTTTAACATTTATTTTCAAAACAACAATTGAACCTAATTTAAAATAGTTTATTAAATGAATTCATTAAAGCAGATTATATGCCTTTGGGGCTTCAGAAAATCAGTTTAAACAAAAGAACTTATGAGAGCAAGTCATTTGTACTTGAATTTTTTCAGAGTTTTAATGAATTAAAGTATTTTCATTTTTTCTATTTTTGTAAGCCGCGTACTTCATTTTTTGAGTTTTTCAGTGGAATTTGTTTTAAAAAATTTTGAAGATTTCAGAGGCCTTCATATTTCTCTTATCCACTTTCTGAGCCCATAAAGCCTTTGCAGTATCCTTGAGTAGTTTATATTTAATAATTTAGTTGTGTACCTTTTTATTTTGAAGTAATTTTTGATTTGCAGAAGAGTTGCAGAGATGGTACAGGGTTTCCATGGACCCTCGCCTTCCCCCATGTGAACATCAAAACAAAGAAATTAACATTGTTGCATTGCTGTTAACTAAACCACAGGCCTATTGAGATTGCCCCGTTTTTCCCACTGTCCAGGAATCCATTTAATTTTTACAGTTATTTACTTTCTCACATTTTTACTAAGTCCAGAATATCATCAAACTCACAAAACCACTGGTCAAAAAACCCAAATGGCCACTAATTAGGCAATATAGCACCTGCCTCAAATTTGGGTTCATATGGATTTTTTTTTCTCTCTTTTTGTGGAGAACAGTCTTGCTATGTTGCCCAGGCTTTTTTTTCTCCCTTTTTGTGGAGAACAGTCTTGCTATGTTGCCCAGGCTAGTCTTGAACCACTGGGCTCAAGCACTCCTCCCTCCTCCCACCTCTGCCTCCCTAAGTTCTGGGATTACAGGCATGAACCACTGTGCCCAGCTCATCTGGATTTTTGCTGGTTCTCTTTCTCAGCCTAAATGTCTTGTTTGCATGGAGAAATTAATAAATGAAGCAGGAGTGCCAAACAAGCCTCATAGGCTCTTCACCCTACAACATCTATGTTAAGTAGAAAAGTATGTGGATTTTTAAAAATAATCTGGTATAAAGAGTTTTTAAGAATTATCTTCATCATCCTAATATCAGATTGTGCTTGAGAAGTTAGGTACAATGTAATGCGATTCATTGCGAAAAACAAAATGCCTTCCACAGTTGCGGACTCACTCATTTTACCAAACTGTGGAATCTGTCAACACCTTTGCTTGGGACCAAGGAAGCAAAGTCATTGAATACCGTGTTCTGTAGACATGTGACCTGTGATAAGGCACAGACAACACAAACTGGCAAAAACATTGGCGTTTGCTCAAAAGCTTATGAACTAAGGATCAAAGGGAAAAAAGAGCTGTGTGAATAATTTTACCTCTTAGTTCTTATGAAGGATGGTTATCGGACTGGAAAAATGTTTATTGGACTGATGCTTTGGAGCCTCTCAATGAATGTAATAAAAAAATAATGTGTAGTGAGCACAAATGTATGGATTTGCAGTGCAATCCAACTTTGAAAACGTGAAAATAAGTGATTTAGTGATACGTTTGGTTGGTGTTCATTTGAGTCCTAAATAAAATTGAGAACTGGTAAAAGAAGGTCACTGTGGAATAACTTGCCATGAGAAGGCTTAGAGGGATGGGAAGTCCTGGACGCCTCTTCTCCAGGATGTCAGAAGAGAGAGGGGAGCGCTAGGTTGACAAGATCGCATCTGCGCATTGTGGTCACCAGTGAGCCTCTCCGCTGAGGCAACAGGTACGTGATGCCACATCTGCAGCCATGGCTGGTGAGAACAGCACCATTCCCTGATCTGTCTTGTTTTCTTTTGTTCCTAGTGCCTGTTGTGTGGACAACTGCACTCAGCAGAGTTTTGGGGAGACTTAGAGGAGCCGCCATGAAGAATCAGCATCAGACGCCTCATCAGGAATCCCTGGCAAGGCCGGCTGTGGTGGCTCACACCTGGAATCCCAAGACTTTAGGAGGCTGAGGTGGGTGGATTGTTCGAGGCCAGGAGTTTGAGACCAGCCTGGGCAGCATAGGGAGACTCCATCTCCACAAACAAATAATAAAGAATGTCATGTGTAAAACCGAGTATCAAAAAGCAAACTCAACCTTTCTCATTCAGAATTTCAAAATGAGTATTTCCTTTGGAAGTCTGCATATATATATATTTGTTTTGAAATGGAGTCTTGCTCTGTCGCCCAGGCTGGAGTGCAGTGGCGCAATCTTGGCTCACTGCAAGCTCCACCTCCTGGGTTCACATCATTCTCCTGCCTCAGCCTCCCGAGTAGCTGGGACTACAGGCGCCCACCACCATGCCCGGCTAATTTTTTGTATTTTTAGTAGAGACAGGGTTTCACCATGGTCTCGATCTCCTGACCTTGTGATCCGCCTGCCTCGGCCTCCCAAAGTGCTGGGATTACAGACGTGAGCCACTGCGCCCGGTCACGTCAATATTAATGAATGTCTTTTCTTTTTTTTTTTTTTTTCGTTTGAGATGGAATCTTGCTCTGTCACCCAGCCTGGAATGCAGTGGTGCGATCTTAGCTCACTGCAACTTCCAACTCCCAGGTTTGAGGGATCCTCCTGCTTCAGCCTCCTGAGTAGCTGGGATTACAGGTGCCTGCCACCATGCCCGGCTAATTTTTGTATTTTTAGTAGAGACGGAGTTTCACCATGTTGGCCGGGCTGGTACCTAACTCCTGGCCTCAAGTTAGCTCCTGCCTCAGCCTCCCAAAGTGCTGGGATTACAGGGGGGTGAGCCACCGTGCCCGGCCACATGTCTTTTCTAGTACCTTGTGTTTAATTGTGGATCTGTATAATACAAAGAAAAACAGAATGCCTTTTTTCTTTTGAGCCCTGCACAGATGGCCCCTCCCTGTCCAGTTCCTCCAGTGAGCCCGAGGCTGCCGGGGGTCCTCCCTGCAGCTGCTGCGGAACCTCTGCCTGCCGTCATGTGAGCTGCCTCTGTCCACTCTATCCTCTCCCCCAGACTGGCCACGGGGGTGGCCCCTTCCTGCCAAGCCCTCTTTCTTTGCTTCTCTGAACACCTTCCTGCAGTGCCTTCAGCGGACTGTTGGGGCAGCGGCTCGGAGGCCACTCCCGGGTCTGAGAGGCCTCCTGGTCTGCTAGCCTGGCAGGAAGCTTGGCCCCCAACACAGCCACAGCTCTCTGGCACCAGGTTTCTTTCAGTTCCTCTGAACTGAGAGCCTCTGCTTCCCGGCCTTTGCATGTGCTGTTTGCCACTCCTCATGCCTGGGCCCCAGCGTCCCTCCCAGGATTTCCCTGAGCTCTCTGCCGAGGCTGGGTCCCCATTCTAGCTTCACAGCACCTGAGACAGGGGTTGGCTGGTCTCCCCGCCCCGTCCTGAAGACTGTCAGCCTCAAGGGGCAGGAGCGCTCAGCACTGCAGAATGAACTGAAGCCCCTTTGGGTCGGTCTGTGCTGCTGCTGTGTGTTCAGGGCAATCGGAGATTTTTCAGGTGTGTTCCTGGGGCCTGTGGTGGTGGGACACCCCCTTCCCCCGCCCACCACGCTCCCTGCAGTAACTCTTCCACTTACTGTAAGTGCACGGGCTGTCTTGTGGTTGACGTTAGGACATACACTCAGGCCAGAATTGGGCAAGACTGTTGCTGAGCGGGGCGTGCAGAGCACTCTGGCCTGGGAGGTGGGGCGCCGGGCTGCTTCCTCCTGCAGGCCAGCTCAGGGTGGGGCTGGTGTCTGCCCAGAGCTTGGCCAGGCAGTGCCGCCCCCTCCCCTCCTGCTGCCTCTACCACCAGCCTTCCCTCAGGCTGCTTCCTGGACGTAGTCTGTGGCAGGTGTCCGGGGCACATTCTCCCCTCTAGGTTGCCATGAAACTGTTTCATTGTCCTTTCAAAAAAATTGAAGTGAAATTGACATACTATCCAATCATTTCAACGACGCCAGACAGAGGTGGTGGGTGCATGAATGAGAGTGTTGGGCATCCACCACCTCTAGTTCCATGGCATTTCCCCATTCCTAAAGGAAAACCTGTCCCCAGCAAGTAGTTGCTCCCCATTCCTCTCTATCTTATGGCTTTGGGTTTCGTTTTCTTTTCTTTCTTTTTTTTTTTTTTTGAGACGGAGTCTCGCTCTGTCGCCCAAAATGGAGTGCGGTGGCCGGATCTCAGCTCACTGCAAGCTTTGCCTTTCGGGTTCACACCATTCTCCTGCCTCAGCCTCCCGAGTAGCTGGGACTA